AAAAAAAAAAAAACCCATTCTTCAAATCAACTTTTCCAACCAATGAATTTGAGTCATTACTACCAGTAAAAACCTACCAAAAAAAATGGCAAAATTCAGACTAGAATATGAAAATTAAGACTCTAATGTTACATGTGAAATAGAATTTACATGCGAAGACCAATAGCCAAGGACAGAGACTGGCAGGCTAAAGGAGAAAGAACATCTGTGGAGCAGAAATGGTCTGGATCAGAAAGACTGTTTTGTCTCTATTAAATGTGTGACCCTGGAAAAATTATTCAATTTTTCAGTGTCTCAGTTTTCTTACCTGAAAAAAAGAGATAATAAAGTTATTTCCCAAAGCTATCCAAAGATGAGGTATAATGTGTGGCCGTTCCTCTCTAGGACGGGACACACAGCTTGCACCTAACCGGGTAAAAGGAAATGAAGGAAAGTCCTGCTCATGTCCAGCAGTAGCATAATGCTAGCTCTAGAGCTAGAATAAGGCTGGTCTTCAGGCCAATAGCCGCTCAGTAAACATTAGTGTGGAATCAGTGACACATTTGCTAGAGAGAAAAACAATCTGAAAGACTGTAACATGAGAATGTGTTTAATTACATTGAGTCATTAAGAGTATTTTTAAGTGAATTTAACTGAGAAGTAACAACAGAGGAGATGTGGAACTTCTAAGTAACATATTTAGGATTTCAGATAACTGAGAAGGCTTGTGAAATTTGTAAGAGATCCCCAAATAAATGTAACCTGAAATTAAGTTTTAAAAACTTGTTAAAATGTATGCAGTGAGTGCCATTTACGCCACCCCATTAACAGGTAGTGAAGTTGTAAGTCAGGGAAAGCAGCCCCCAAATCAAGATCCATTTGGCTATTCACATAAACTTTGATTATCTGTTGATCACACTGCATAAGATGTAAGAATTAGATGAAAGTGACTGTGGAAATTAGGGGACTAGGTTTTTACACATGTGCTTGTTTAAACAGTGAAAGTTAAACCATCCTGTTTGATTCCACATCATCTCTGGTAAATGGATTTAAGAGACATTTAGTTCAAGCTTTACGTGGGCAACATTACAGGCGCTTCACCACAGTGGCTGCTCTTCCTCAGACCTGCTGCAGTTTGTCCAGATGAGAAGACTAGAGGCTGCCTCAGAAGCCATGTGTGGAAAGAAATGTCAATTATGCCCTGCCTAGGTGCTGGCAGAAGCACCGTCACTATAATCTCACTTTTCTCCATGCTTTAGCTAGTCACACTAAGTCTATTCCTTCACAGATGTTTTATTCAAAGGCAAGAAAATAATATTTTAGGCTTTGTAGGCTATGTGGTCTATTGTAACGACCCTATGATCACCAATATGCTGCAATCGTAGTGCCAAAGTGGCAACCAAGAATATTCACAAGACTAAGTGTGGCTGTATTGTAACACAAACTTAATTTTCAAGGCTGGGCATGGTGGTTCATGCCTGTAATCCCAGCACTTTGGGATGCTGAGGTAGGAGGTCTGCTTGAGCCCAGGAATTTGAGGTTGCTATGAGCTAGGCTGATGCCACTGCACTCTAGCTTGGGGCAATAGAGGAACAGAGTCTCAAAAAAAAAAAAAAATCAGAAAAACAAAAACCAAAGAATTTAATTTTCAAAAATAAGTGCTGTGCCTGACTTGTTTCATCACCTCTAGTCTAGACCAGGGCAGCCCAAGAAATTCTCTGAGATGAGGAAAATGTATCATTTTTGCACTGTCCAACGTGGTAGCCATGTGTGCTACTGAGCTTTTGAAATGTGGCTAGCACAGCTGAGATAATACATTTCCATCTTATTTAGTCTTAACTCACATGTAAATAGTCACTGAACAGTGGCTACCATATTTGACAATGGCAGTCTACAGGGTCATCCTGATCAACTGCCTAGTCACCCTCAGGGCTGTGCTCCCAAGTAGCTTCCTCAGGAAAGCGTCTGCGGACTGTGGACACATCCCCACTCTGTGCTAAATGCCTCTGTGATCTCTCAAGCTGTGCCCTCATTTTAAATTTACATTTTCATTTGTGCAATTTTTATGGATTAGGCTCTGTGAATAGCAGATAACAGTCCCATGAGGGCAGGTGCTGTTCACCACTGTATACAGTAGGTGCTTATATTAACTGGACTTTGACAAGGGCCCACAGAACCCTGTCCTGCACTCCTCTGGGGGCTCTAGAACTCTTAGCAAGTGAGGACCTCGGCTCAGTGACTGATCCAGAAACCGAGAGTGTAGCTGCATTAGAGTCATGGAGGGGTGGGGGGCTGCTGGATGCAGATCCTGGAATCCATCCCTGGAGAGTCTGATTTGAGAGTCTGGGGAGGTTCCGGAGGAAGGAGACAACCAGACCGGAGATGCAGATTCTCGTGAAAGTGGAGTAGCAACTGGCTTTCTGCACAAGCTTCCCCCAGTGGAGGATCTGAGCTTCTCTCTCCGGCTCAGCACTCTGCTGGGAAGGTGGGGTGCTCCACAATTTCCAGCTAGTTGACTATGTGATGAGGAAGGGCAAAGAGCTGGGCATCTCGTCAGTGACATTCAGGGGATAGCTGTTGTTTCTCACTGGAAGTCTCAGCTGCCTCAAATTCCCTCACACATGCTGCATCTCAGTCAGAAGTGTGCACTCAGCTGGCAAGTAAACACAAAAAGCCTAGAAATAAACCTCACCCTGCTGCTTTTCTCACTACCTGTGTCCCTGGTGTACCAGTCAGATAAGGAAGCAAGAGGCAGGAGAGGGCTCAGGAGGCTCAGGAAGAATGGTGTGTCCAGCCAAGAAGGGACTTCTAGAAGCAGGGGCACCATCTCCAGCCCACTACCTATGCACTGGCCCCGCTTCTTTTTCTGGACCCCTCATTACATGAGCTTCCCTTTGGGCCCCAGAGGAATGATGGCCTTGCCAAAGACAGGAATACTTTTTAATCATGTATATCTTCAAGAAAAAGTCATTTATAAAAATAAACATGATATTCACCCTGATTTGGACATTATGAGAAATTTAAAATTTATGCTTAAGATACCTTAGAAAAACATGTCAGTTATTCTTAGGGGTTTTCTAAAAGATATTTCCTCAAGAAGTACATGAGCTGCCTGTTACATTTATATAATTCCAGGTTTATGGAAAGGTCAAGAACTGGTAAAATCATAGATTTTCTTGTAAAATGAATGGTCAGTTCAACATAAGAGGTTTGTTTAGCTTCATTCTTTACACCTATGCTTTCAAAAAAGTTGGTAATAGTAACAGAAAAATCCCATTTAAATCTCCTTCAGAGGCTAACTTTAAAAAAGAGATACTAGATATAACTGCTTCCTATACTTACTTTCATAAGATAAAACCAGTGCCTGAAATTCAGTTTCAAGAGAAATAACTCCCTCTCTCTTACCCCCTGAAAAAAGAAAAAAAAAAAAACTTGCTTCTGGATTTACTTTCATGAACAACTGATCGAAGCTGCGTCCCGAGGGAGAAAACAGAACTGTGACTCCCACTTTGATCTCCTCCCCATGGAGAAATTCACTCCCTGCCTGGCTTGCAAGATGTTCATTTGATTGACGTTTGCTCTGATGTGCAAACTGCTTTGAACTTCAGACATTTAATTCCCATCAGGCTGCAGTCATTTTTATTCTCCTTCAACAGGATTTACAAGCAGGAGATCAGCAAATGTAGAAGATAAAATAAATTTGCAGAAGCTTTGAATTTTACATCAAAACAGTGTTCAAGTGAGTTCCAATTGGATTTCATTCAGCCTTGATTCACAGTGTAAATCAACTTTGTAGTGGAGTCCCAGTTAAAAAAGAAAACGATATAAGGAAGAGAGACACACACACACAAGTTGGGGTTTACTTCCTTTCGTGGTCTTTGTTTAAATTTCCTAGGGAAGGTGATTTGCCAGCAAACCACTCATGACCTGAGTTTTCCAGCATTTCCAGAAAAGTCCGCCTAGTCTACTGCATAGCACACAGAGCCACACCCACCTCACGGGTTCCCAGGGTGGTGGGGAAATACAGTATTATTCACAGATACATTTTTAAGGTAACAATTTTTAAAAGCAAATCCCTGTGGATTTCTCAGCAGAGCAAGGCTATTGAGTTCCTTCTTAGAGCCAACATGACAACAGTTAATGAGGTAGGGTGCATATTTTACTTGTTTGCTTATTTTTAATCACTGCTAAAATGCTGAGACAAGTGAAAAAGATAAAAAAACACCCTTTTTTCTAAAAGCAAAATTTGGTATCAGATCCATGTGGGTGTGGAATAGATGCTGAGAGGCTTCCATGGGGCTGGACCACCAGACTCTGCTTTTTCCTGGGGAGCAAAGGAGGCCAAAACTTTTCTCCATCAGTAGTTGCAGAGAGTGGACACAGAGAGAAGGCCATGAGTACCAGCCCTGGGGCCCTCCTGGCTGTCCAGCAGCAGCTGGGTGCAGTGAGACCCATGGGGAATTCCCATCTCCTCCACTCAGAGAGGTCCTGTTCATTCTTTCTAGAAGGGGTCTGCTTTCCAAATATTTGAGCAACACCAGTTGAAAAGAATTAAACAAGAACCTCCTTATCTTCCACTTAACCACCCATGAGAATAAAGTAAAGTAAAGAAAGAGCTAAGATAAAAATCAAACATCTGTACTGGCAAATATTTAAACTCTGTCTGAATGGTGGAGGAAAAGGGCAAGAGCAAGATCACTTCACGGACTGTCACGTTTATGAAGTGAACGAGGCTCAGGCCCCACTCCCTGAATTTACTTACTCAAACACCTAAATTAATAGGCAAACCAAAAAGCTGTCGAATCACATATACTCATG